AGTGCGTTATCTCCCTTTATCAGACCCCGTTCGTTAACTTACGCTGCAAAAACATGGATAGTACATGTTGAATATAAAATTTATTCCTTGTAAGCTTTTTTATATGACTGGCGCTACTTCCATTCTTTCAGTGGCTCGCTAAGAACATGAGTAAGAACTCAGAAAAATCTATTCTGCCTAGTGGAGCTGGTTTTTTAGGTAATTGAAATGTTCTTTGTAAAAATATTTTGGTCATCTCGGTTTCTGCTGGGTAAGCTCTGTCCTTTTTGGTTCAGATACTGGTTCTGCTGGTCTTCTGAGTCATTCAAATCCATCTACAAAGGTTGTTTATCCAGATACCTCTCAGATGGTTATTTATGACCCAAGCCAAAAATTAGGTACTCGCGAAACTCTGTTTTCTTGTCCTGAATGTTAAGCAATATAGATCTAATCTAGTTCTAATATAATCTATCTTATATGACTGTCTTAATTGGTGGTTTCATATTTTCGGAGTCGGATGATTTATTTATTTTAGTACCAACCATTTCATTCTTATAAATTCGTCCGACTAATCTTATATAATATTTAGTAGTTCCGAAAATATTTTGGATTGCGATAAAAAATTTGTTTGGTATCTATTTGTAATCCATATAACACTAACACTCAAGAGAGTTATTCAATAGGGAGAAGGTTATTAGCTGCTTGGATTGATAATAACATGAGCAATGATGACACTCCCAGCTTTTTGAGAGAGCTGATTCTCTCCTTTTAGAAAATTTGTCCACATAATGCCCTACCTCACTGCAAACCCTTTCTAAACCTCCCACGCCCTGCCTTTCCGTACAAACGCATGATATCGAAGGGTCAGCACCTCAACCATTTTTCATTCCATTTTCCCCACATTACCCTTTCATTTAAGCATATGCCTTACCAGAGGTTTGACACAGTAAGCGGATTTTTTTTTTTTTTTTTTTTTTTAAGTTGGCTGATGAGCGTGTTTGTGGCAGATTAAGACATTAGGTTTGTAATGAATGATGTTTACTGAAATACTAGAACACTCCGAGAAAAATATTTATCGTCGAAGGATTTTCTGAATAGGCAAATACCAATTGATTATTTGATTTGATTTTACCAAACTTGCTCTTCATTTGGTGGTGGTGGCAGGAATGCTTCCAACTGCAACAGCTTCAGGACTTCCTGCTAATCCTATCACCTTATCAAATCCTGCTTCTGTTGTGAGTGGAGGACCAACTAATGTATTTGACGAAATACTAAAAGCAACACCAGCTGCATTAATAGCATTTCTTGCTAACTTACCTGCCGTTGATGGTAACCTTTCTTATTATGTCTTATTTTGAAGGCAATTAAATGCTTCAAGATTGTTTAATTGTGAATGATTGTTTCAAGTCTTTTATTTTTATTTTACTATTATTTGTGAAATAAGAAAAAAGAGATAGGCAGTGTTCACTCGAACGTTAATAGCCTTATTTTATGAACTCTTTCTACAAGAGGCTGAGAACTTGGTGGTCTAATCATCCAGGCATATCATGATATCTACTGTTATTTCCTGATTTCTGTTCATGTCAGTTAGCTGTTGCGTACTATACCGGGCGGTGATCTTTGTATTTTTGGTATGTTCATACTTGAACTGCGTCTTAAACAATAACCATCGTTGATCTCCTGAAATTTTCAGGTCCGACCCCAGATGTTGATATTGTACTATCAGTTTGTCTAGAGAGTGACATACCTACAGTTCCTTCAGTCAAATCAGGGGCAACACCAGCCCAAGGCTCGGCTGGTCCTGTTCCTACCACTAGTGACTCTGGTACAAGCAAGTCTCATGCATTTTCAAATTCCTCCCTAAAGCATACCAGAGATAGACAATCAGCAAAGAGAAAAGATTATGACAGTATGTTCTTTATTTTCTCTGTTTACAGTTTCCATTGGTTTATACTACCCTAAACTTTGACATAACATGCTTATTGAGCAAATATTCTCTATTCGGTACAACGTGGCTGAAAAATAAATTAGAACGTATCACACAACTTTCCGAAGCAACATATCAAATCCCTTTTGAAGCTGTCAGATATATAAATGAATTTGTATCGAATTCCAGTGGATGTATTAACGATTGATTATCCTTAGAACTCACCATATACTCATGATCTTTCGGTTTTATCGTTAATGACATAATCTTGATTTATTTTTTTCATACTGTCAGCTAATCTTCGTTTACTGATTTTCAAGTTTTGTTAAAAGTCAAAAGTTCGGATGATGGCTTTCATGGTATACATTATGATTATTGACGATGAGCTTGTATATGGTTAGCATAATCTTGTATTGGGTTCTATTAAACTAGCTCTCATAGATATAGTGAATTTAGTCATTAGCTTCAAAGACATGATTAGTATTCAAATAAATAAAAAATGAAACAGTAATACCAGCATAGGAATTCTTGTTCTGATATTATCTCAAATCACTATTAAAAATTCAAAAGTTGGTGAATGTTCACATTTTTAGGCGACTCATTTCATGATACTGATGTAACGGCTCAAACTCACCGCTAACAGATATTGTCTTCTTTGGACTTTTCTTTTTGGGCTTCCCCTAAAAAAAAAATTTAAAAAGTGTCTGCTAGGAAGAGGTTTTCACACCCTTATAAAGGGTATTTCGCTCGCCTCTCCTACCGACATGGGATCTCACAACCGATTCGTTTATTACTTTTGAATTGTGAATTTTACATATTTTGTTAGTTGGGTTTGGATTCGGGCCGAGTTCAAGTCTCCCTTTTCTATATTTTACATAATCTTTTGTTAAGATTACTATTGATCTTGTTATAACTAGACATCGTGTTTGTTGATTGGTTGATAGGACAAGAGGATAATGAAAGTACAACAGTCCAGAGTCAGCCATTGCCTAAAGATTTCTTCAGGATAAGGCAAATCCAGAAAGCTCGAGGTGCTACTTCTTCCCAAACAGGTTCTGCTTCCTATGGTAGTGCTATTTCTGGTGATCTATCTGGTAGCACTGGTTGAGTTCATATAATTTTATTTTAAAAAATTTTCATTTAGTTGATAATAGATACTCTAATATTCCATATAAGTTATGTTTTAGAGGAAGCTAGAAGAATCATCAATTGGCTTCACCATCTTATGCTTGCTACATTCATAACTTCTATATAATTATTCTTTTCCTGAGAAAGCCCTGTGTTTAGAATGATGAATGCACTGGAGTTGATTTTAGATTAGAGTTCATAGAAGTTTTCTTCTTTTTGTCCCAAGTGTACTGCAATTTTTCCCCTTTACGTGTCGAATTCGACCGTTCTATGCGTTAATTTCTTGCTAGACAAGGTTTTCGTGAAACCAAAAGCTAGAATTTTATTTACAAGAGTGGATAGGTCTGGAGTCGGCATTCTACAAATTACTCTGTTCATTAAGCACGATGGTATTATAGTTTTTGCTTGAAGGTCGAGTTCGGCTTGAAGACGTTCCTCATTGTGTGAGAACATGCCATAGAAATTCGTCATGTTTATTACTCGAAAAATGTTGGTGTTTGAACTAAACCGAACAATGTAATATCTAGTTTGAAAATAATTTGAATGGTTTGAGTCTTGACTACTTTCCGGTATTGAAGTGGTTTGAATGTGGGATCCCTTTATAGGAGTGGCTTGTTTGTGGGATAGCTTGGGTTGGGTTGGATTGAATTTTTTTTTTTTGGACAAACTTAAAGTTTCAGGTTGGTTCGGTTGGTGACCGAGTAACCTAAATAGAGTTTCCAACCCTCTATTTTTGGGTTACGTTGAGTTGTCGGGTTATTTTTTTTTAATTATTTAAAAAAATCTTACTTCTCTGTCGTACATGTTACATTGATAATTTATTAAAATTTTATAAAGTTCAAATATTAAATATTTATCAATTGTCATGCATAAATAACATCGATTACAAACGCCAAATATATTTAATCTTTTAAAAATTAGAGTTGAGTTGTAACCTTATTTTTTGGTTAGTTGAGTTGACCCGACCAAAATAAGTTAACTCGTAAGCTGAAACAAAATGTTTAATTTTTTAAAAATTTAGTTCAATCCAACTCGACTTTTATGTTTTGAGTTGGATAGTTCGAGTTGGTTCGGTAATTAAGTCATATGAATATCTCTATTTTCTCCTATATTGTGTTAGATCAATTAAGATTTGTTTGTCACGTAATCGATTAAAGGTTAGAAATTTTAATTTCTCTTGAAAAATTAGGATTCAATGGGTACACTCCATGGTCTTTTAGGGCCATTAAAAAAAAAAAAAAAAAGGCTTAAATGAAAGGAGCGCCCTCTCTCGGCTGGATGTTGGTCCAGCCTACTACGAAGATCCCATGTTTCATTATCCATATTTTCTGACTTGGGAATAGTCGAGATATTCATTATGAATCGTCCTACCTAAAGTAGCATCCGCCTTTTTTCAGTAGTTCAAAACTAGAATTGGCACAATATCGCGAAAAAAAAAAAAAGAAGAAAAGATTAGGCCTCAAAATTCTAGTCGTGGTTAAGTCGACCCACTCAACTTGCTAAACTTGCCAGATCGACTTGGACCTAAGCCAACGTAAATGGCTGATGTTTATCCAAATCATGAAGGACGATCTTTGTAACCAATATTAGTGATACATTACGACTTGTAAATATTTGATATTTAAGTTTAATGACATTTTAATTATTAATATAACATGCAGATAAGTATGATTTTTCTTAAAATAATTATAAAAAAATAAAAAATCGAACTGAATTTTAATTATTAATGTAACATGTATTAGGTTAAGTTTGGTCGAGTTGCGAACTCTATTTAAATTGTTCGGATCATCCATCCAATTAACCTGAACTTCCGGATTTCTATTCTATCAAAGATGGGTATATATGAATAAAAAAAAAAAAAAAATTATGAATAAAAAAACGTATTTTAATGGAAAATAAATAGAGTAAAAAGAAAAAGAAAAAGGAAATTTGGTTTTTAATGGAAAATAACGAAATGGACAAATAATATCAACTCTGTCTCTCTGTTTTTCTCTAATCCTAATGGCGGAGTTGGCTTTGCTGACAATTTCCATCAAAACAGAAAGCGGCCAAAGCCCAGCAGCGCCATAGCCATACCGCATTCTATCTGCTTTCTTCTCCAATTTCGTTTTCTCTCTCCGATTCCTCGTTTCAGGCATTCGATTAATCTTAGTTTTTCGTTTGATTTCAGAATCGGGGTTCGTCTTGTTTGTTCTACCGTTTTTTTAGCTTGATTTTGTTAATTTTGTGCTTTTCGCTTAATCTGGCAGATATTATTGATTGCGATAGAAGCGTGCGATAACGGGGAGATAGATATGGAAATTGGTTTTCGTGTTAGGAAATTTGTAGTCGTTTCGATTAGAATTTACTGCCGATCAGTTCGTAATTATCCATTTCTCTTTGGTTTGCTGTGTCTTTTGATTCTTCTGTATAGATCATGTCCTTTTTTGTTTTCCATTTTGGTGTCTGCGTCCCCTGTTTTGATTTGCACGGCTGTTCTTCTTGGAACTCTTCTGAGTTTTGGGAAACCTAATATTCCTGAAATCGAAACGGAGGAGGTAGCTTCTTTGAAATCTGGAATTTTGGATAATGCTACTGTTCTTACTAAGGAGGATGATAGTTTTACTGTAGAGAGACTTGATGGAGTTAAAGTAGGGAATTCTTATGTGGAAAGTTCTGAAGAAGATAGGAAAACAAGTACGCTTGATGAACATGCTGATTTTCTTGACTTTGTTCCGGTGATCCATGAGCGCGATTTCGAAATTCAATTCAAGAGGGGAGGAGTTGAGGAGTTCAAGAAGAACAAAGTTGAGGAGTTCGAGAAGAACAAAGTTGAGGAGTTCGGGAAGAACAAAGTTGAGGAGTTCGGGAAGAATGAAGTTGAGGAGTTAAAGAAGGGTGAAGAGAGGGAATTGCCTGTTGGTTCGGAGTTAGAGGAGAGGAGAGAAATTTTCGAAAGGGATTTCGATATTAAAGGTTTGGCAACGGATGGTGAAAAAGCTGTTGAGGACCGGCTTTTGGCGGCCGAAAGCTTAAGAAATGAGATTATTGAAGTCGAAGATCGTAACATCTCAAGAGAACCTTTTCATAAAGGAGATAATCTGAACTTATCACTCAATGATAAAGATGTTAGTGATGAAAATGATTATGGTTCTTCGGGTTCTGAGTCTGATAGAGCGGAAAGTTCCTCACCCGATGCCTCAATGGCTGATATCATGCCGTTGCTGGATGAGTTACACCCGCTCTTGGACTTGGAAACTCTGCTACCTGCACCACGGTCGAATGAGGAGTCTGATGCTTCTTCAGAACAGTCTCGTAAAAGTGACGGTGAATGTGTGATATCGGATGATGAGGCTGAAAACCAGGGAGAAGAAGGCAGTGCTATTGAGCATGACGACAATGACGACGACGACGATGAGGGGATGGATGAAGAGAAAGAGGATGAGAGCAAATCCGCTATCAAGTGGACTGAGGATGATCAAAAGAATCTTATGGATTTGGGAAATTTAGAGCTAGAAAGGAATCAGCGTTTGGAGAATCTCATAGCAAGGAGAAAAGCAAGAAACAATGTGAGAATGTTGGCTGTGAAGAATTTGATAGACTTTGATGGTTTCGATATTCCTGTAAATGTACCACCCATATCTACAGCTAAACTCAACCCGTTCGATCTCCCTTATGATTCATATAACAATATGGGATTACCACCAATTCCCGGGTCTGCTCCATCCATTTTGTTGCCAAGACGTAACCCGTTCGATCTCCCATATGACCCTAACGAAGAAAAACCAGACCTCAAGAGTGACGATTTTGAACATAAAGATATACTCCGAAGACATGAAAGTTTCAGTGTGGGCGATTCAAGCTTTGCAGTTCCCAAGCTAGAGCAGCAAAATATTAGATGGAAACCGTATTTCATACCCGAAAAAACAGCTGCCGAAGGAACGAGCTACGCTCAATTAGAAAGACAATTCAGCGAAGTCAGTGAATCAAAATTGAGTTCTGTTTCTGATACTGAATCAATGAGTTCCATTGCAGATCAGGATGACAAGAAGCCTGATGAATCACAATCTTTTCTGGAAACAACAGCAGTTTCCTACCTTGACCCAATGGCCAGTGAGCTTGGAAACGGGTCGTGGGAGGATATCGGCTCTGAAGATTACATACAAGAAGATAGAGATGTTCATCATGAAGTGATCGAGATAACTTTGGGATCTACCGAGAGTCGCTTCGAAAGCCAATCTGGATCATCGGAAACTGGAGCTGCGGATACCCCAGTGGAGATTAATGCTACTGAAATTCACTCCAAAAGTTTATTAATTGAAACAGATTACAGCAGCAATTCTAGCATGTCTTCATTATTAGAAGAAGTAAATGAAACATCATCTCAGGCAAAAAAAGATGAGGCGAGACTGAGTAGCTCTCGTGTAAAGGAATCTAGTGTCGAGACTACTAGCACATCATTGCCGACTGCCCTTGAAGAAGATGCAAACTTCAAGATTGCCTGTGACGTGCTGGATGACAATCACAATAAGGAGTCTCTTTATGATTCGAGCCCTTCAGCGGAAGGCAAGTTCTCTTTTTTGCCTATTTCTTCTGATGTGTATGTAGAAATTCCCTGTTTTGCTGACGCACGTGGCCCCTTTTCAGGTAAGGACTCCGAGGTACATTCCGAAATCGAACAGGATGCCACTTCCAGTTTGAAAGATATGCATGATGCCTCCGCAGAGTTACATGCAGTTGATAAAAATGAACAAGAGTCGAGAGAAGATTCCGAAGTTACCGTTCATTTGCCTACCAACACAACGAGTCATGTGGACCTCGATCACTTGGTTGGGATGGCAGATCCGATAGCTACTTCTCGTGACCATTTGACTACCAATGCAACTATTCTTGTATCGCAGGAACAAAATAAACCTACGGCGATGGAAGAACAAGTCTTATTGATATCATCAAGTTCAACATTTCCATCTGAATTGGAGCAAGTGGAGGAGTGTTCAATGAATGAGAAAGATGTTAGGTTCGAACAAGATTTTGTTCGGGCCTTGAGTGTCGAATCACACAAAGAGAGTGCCCTGCAAGATCTGGATATTAAAATTGCCTCTTCAGGTTCTAGTTCTCCGAATGTGACTCGTGAAGTTATGTCGTCTGCTACTCAATTCGAGCAGTCGTGGTCAGACAAGCCAATGGTTGAACCTGTGATTGGTCACCGCGATGGTTTTGAGGTAATCAATTGCATACTTTTTTTGAAGTTGACAGTTGTCTTCTTTCGATTACGACAATGATGTTGAAAAGTTCCAAACATATGAAAGAATTATTATATTTGCTGCGGCCTGTGGATAATCCTGTTCGCATGGTCTGGTGTTCATTAGATCAAACATACCACTGCAACTTTCCATTTTATCTTATCTGAATATATAACCGCCCAAGCCCACGCTAGCAGTCTTTTTTGGACTTTCCCTTCCGGACTTCCCCTCAAGGTTTTAAAACGCGTCTACTATGGGAAGGGTCTAGCCCTACTCATATTAGTGCCTCACACCGGACTGGCTCTGATACCATTTGTAACAGCCAAAACCTACCACTAGCAAGTATTGTCTTCTTTGGGCTTTTCCTTCCAGGCTTCCCCTCAAGGTTTTAAAACGCATCTACTAGGGAGAGGTTTCCACATTCTTATAAAAAATGTTTCGTTCCCCCACCAACCAATGTGGGATCTCACAATCTACCCCACTTCGGGGTCCGGTGTCCTCGCTGGCATTCGTTCCCTTTTCTAATTGATGTGGGACCCTCCAATCCACCCCCTTCGGGGTTAGTGTTCTTGCTGACACACTGCCTTGTGTCCACCCCCTTTCAGGGCTCATCCTACTCGCTGGCACATCACCTGGTGTGTGGCAACTCTTTTAGAATTTATAAGGAAAGATAGTTGTAATATGAATTTAGTGATTTAAAATGACGATATCAAGCTGATATTTTGCAGGAACGAGGTTCTTTATCGACGGATTCTGCTGCTGAAGTAAACTCTGAGAACGTAGCACCAAAAGTTCATCAAGACATTTCAACAGCTCTGTCTCTTGTAGTATCTGATTCCTCATCATCTTCATCCGACCACGACTTCAGACCACCCTATGCTGCAAGGGATAAAAAAGATGGCATTGTTGATCAAGTTGTATTTGAGGATCATGGGGAGGTCACAAAGCATTTGGACTATCCAACAGAAGTATATGATTCTCATTTTTCGGAAAAGACGATTAGGGAAGAGGTCGATGAAATAGCATATATTGATGAAGGGTTGCTATTAGAATTGGATGAAGTTGGGGATTTCAGCGTCAAAGAAGTCGGAGAACCAGTCCGTAACGAAAAGGTAATACCAGAGGAAGCTCAAGCAAAGAGACCAACCGAAGCTAAATTAGATATACCGATTCTCGAAGCAAGAACTCTTGATGATATCAACTTAGCTTTTAGGCAAGTCCATGAAGGAGTAGACGTGGAGGACGTCGTTCTTCCGAGTGCTACCGAAAGCCAACTCAAGAAAGGAGCCATATCCGAAACAAATTCAAATTTGGAAGTCGTTGAAGCAAGATCTCTTGGAGATATTCATGTTCCTTTGGCACAAGTATCAGAGAATAACATAGTTGAATCAAGTTCTAGTTCCGAACCCGCAGAAACTGAACCGAATTCTAGTTCCAATCCTACCGAAACTAAAAACGAAGCCAAACCCGAAACGAGTTCAGATTTTGAAGCCGTCGAAGCAAAATCTCCGGGAGACAATCATGTTGCATTGATGCAAGTCTCAGGGAAAACCATGAGTGAACTTCCAACAAGTTCTGTGTCAAATGATCCATCAAAGGAATCCGAACAAGCCGGAGCAGATTCTATTACTGCAATTGCCTCACCAAGCACGACGGATGCCGAAAATCCGAAGTCGATGCCGGTAACCCAGTAGATCGAAACGTGACTGCTACCAAAACCAAAGACTAGAAAGAAGGCAAAGTCTGGATTGAGGTAATTTGGAGGTTTACCTTCTTATTTCAGGATTTTCATTTTTCTTGTTTGGATTCGTTTTCCAGTTTGGTTGCCTTATCCTGTTGTGTTTTTGCTGTGCAATGTTTTGAAAGTGAGTTGTGGCTTGAGTTCTTGAAATTTTACAAGTTTCCTTTAGAATTTATCCTTTGTTTAAATCTGTACGTAAAAGTTTTGTTGAATTCTTTTATGAATTGTTTGAATTTGATGTTTATTGAGTATCCTGAGTTAGCCATGGAATTCCATGGATATCATATAATGAATATGTAACGGATTGAAGAAGAAAAAAAAGTCTAGAAAACGGCACTCACCGGAAATCTCGAGATTTCTCGCAAGCGCCACGATTCACACACCTCAACCACTTCTCCCCACACCTTCGAAAACCTCCCCTTCGGGAATGAAGGAAAGGAAGGAAAAACAGAAAGGACATTAAGTACCAAAGAAGTCGATGACTAAGTTTTTTTTGCAATTTTATCTAGTTTAGATACATGTTGAGAATCATTTAAACTAGACATTGTGTGAACAAGCGTTCTTATTGTAAGAGATTCGATCAATAAGGAGTTCTGAATCTCTTAAGATATTCTGCAACAAGATACTCTGAATTGTATTGTTCCTGTTAGCTACGATTGTTTATTAATCTATTTTCTTGCATAAAAATTAAAAAATTAACTTAAAAAGAGATTTTAATTCTTTTTAAAAAATTTATTGATGGTATAAAAATTAAATTTAAACTTTTTGAAAATATATAAAATAAAATAAAAATGTAATAAAAGTAGAAAGGGTAAAGTGGTATTTTAACTTTTGTAATTTCAGCTCGAAAGGAAAAAAAGAAAAAAAGTGTACACGTGGCTAAAATGTAATGGGCCGAACAGTTTCGGCCCAGATACGGGTTAGATCCCTGACCAAGCTACCGATCAGGTACGGTCAATCTCACGTTTTAAATCATACCAGATCACGACACGTCGTACACTCATTACTTTTTTGTCGTTTGTGGGGTGGGGCCCGCCAATTATACTTCGGAAAACATATTCCAACCGTCCGATTGCGTCCCAGCACTAAGTCATCCAACGGCTGTGAGAAATCCAAACAAAATAAAATGAAATAAATAAAACCCGAATAATATTTTTGCTTGGGATAGAAAAGCTCGAACTCAAAAAAAAAAAAAAAAAAAAAAAAAAAAAAAAA